ATAGATAGATAGATAGATAGATAGATAGATAGATAGATAGATAGATATAGGAAATTTTAACCCACTGAGTCCAATCAGTGCTGCCCATGTGTGTGTGTATAAGGTCATCTACCAGTGGCCACACTCTTAAAGAAATATGATGCTTCCTTCCCAAAGAGCCATTCTCTGCCATTAGCTTCCCAACTGGGAGTGAGCAAGTCATTAATCTTTGTTGTCTAGATTAAATGTAGGGTCATTTGAACATACCAAAGTAATTCTTTTTCTTATAGACTTCTTCAGGCTGATCATTTGTGATTCTTTATAGCAGCTAACAATAGAAGACAAATTCCAGAGGCATTAATTTATAACTTTTTGCAAAGGAACTAACCAAAGGGAGCCTCAGGGAATGTGTTAAGAATGAACTTTCACCATCTGGTTGTGTTTCAGGAACGTACCTGATACGGCAGAGAGAGTATTCCTCTCTGGGAGGCCATCATCATCTTACTAATGATGCATCTTTCTGTGTCATCTCAGCAAGGATGCTGAAGGAAGATACAATGTAAGATAGCCCGCAGTAAATTCAGTAAAATGCTGCTTACTAGAGAACTGGGGAGTGGCCTGTGTGAAATAGCCCTGCGCTGCTCTCTTAAACGTCCATGTGCGAGTCCTTTGATTCTTACAAGGGTGTGAAATCATTCATCAGAATAAGAATATCATAAGGGACCCAGTGAGACTGTTCCAAGACCCTGTTTTGATTTGACTGGAGAGTAAATTCAGGAGGATGTGTGGGTGTAATAGCTGTTGGCCAACAACCATCCTTAAAAAGATTTTCAGGGGCTGGAGAGATGGCTCAGTGGTTTAGAGCACTGGCTGCTCTTCCAGAGATCCTGAGTTCAATTCCCAGCAACCACATGGTGACTCACAACTGTCTGTAGTGAGATCTGGTGCCCTCTTCTGGCATGTGGGCATACATGGAGGCAGAATGCTGTATACATAATAAATAAATAAATCTTTAAAAAAAAAAGAAAGAAAGATTTTCAGGGTTAAATGAGAGTGGGAGAATGCAGGCAGCTCTTAAGGGGAGGCAAAAAAGTTACAGTAGGGAGCTGAGAGGAATTCTGAGGAAGCAGAGAGGGTCAGGGTCCTGGTAGCAATAGTTTCATTCCGCGATTGAACGGACTCTAAATGGAGTGAAAGACTTGTCAGATAGAAATGTCCCAAATCACAAAGAAAAGACTTCCCTCTCCATGTGACCTGGCCTGACGGGCTAGATAAAGGTTCCTGGCATGCTGACTTTCAAAATAAAAATATGCAAAGCAGGACAGCCCATAGTGACACTTACCCAGAAAGAGGGGAGAGAGAAATGGTTAAAGCTGAAGAGGGGGAAGCAGATGCAGATGAGCAAATAGAATTCTCTGGAGTGCTGGACTAAGGCAGAGGTCAGGGACCCAGCACTTGGAATTTCCGATTTATTTAGGGGCCGGATATAGCAGGGCAGATTCTGTCAGCAAGGCTTTCTTTCTTAGTTTAAGTTGAGCAGCTACTCCAAGCTATTTCCCCATACCCATGAACATTTGGCAAGTTAACTCTCTCTTTTCTTTCCCCCAGTGAATCACCCTGCTAGTGGACCTGACTTAAGGTGGTGGTGGCAGCGAATTCCACCAACCCCTTTTACGTTCCTGGTGGGGGGTTCCTGTGGAGTTAATTTATGGTCAAGGGCTGCAGGGGAGGTCAGTCGGGATACTGATACTTTGCTGCCCCCTTCCTAGCTCTTGAATGAGATAGCAAGGGTGCTCCCTCATAAGTAGAGGGGCAAAGGGCTCCAGAGCACAGCTCTTTATGTTTAATAATAGTAAGGAACCATCTTTCCTTCGACTCCCCTTGTCCCACCTTGAAAAAAAGGCATGAAAGACAACTGGATTACTCACCCATCTTTATCTGGATTGCAGTGACCAAGGAGTTCCGGACCCCTTTTAGTAAGAACCTATCTACACTGAACACTAGAGAATTACCTCATCCAGGGTAATTTCAAAACTTAGGTTCCCAGATTCCTGTTTGAACACCAGATATTGCTGCAGTAGTGACCAGCCTTCATCAACTCAGGGATTGGGGGATCCACTGAGTCCCCAAATGAATCACTCTACATGACTTTCCTATCTGAGGGAATAAAACTTAATTCTCTGGGTCAAGCAAGGGGCAAAACTAAACTTTCTGGGACTGATAAAAGAGGTAAAACACACACTTTTCAGGTCTCTTTATCATCTTTCTCGCCTGCTTTTTTTTTTAACCTCTATTCAGATGTAACTTTCCTGTCTCTCTTGATGATTTCCTGTTAACTAACTTTATTTTTTTTTTTCCTGGAAGCTTATATACCCCCAGAAAAATCTTTCAAGCAACATAAAACTTACAATGTGTCTACACTTTATTTTCAAGTGAATGATTACAATGAATACAAGTAAAAAACAGCATTTTTTTCTCATCCTTTACATGATTAAATATTTACATATTACAGGTGACAACTAAGTTGTCCCAAGAACCCAAGCAACTTGTAGATTAACAGAATCTAAGCAAGCAAGGTATTTTTCTCTGCCAGTTCTTCATCTGGCAACCCCATTTTTTGGTTACAAAGAAAGGAACACTTACTTTGTTATTTATCTCAAAAGATAATTCCATACGAGCTCTTAAAAGAATATAAACTTTTATATAAAAAAAATAATCTGTTAGCTCCTCAATCAGTCCTCGGGGTGCATACCCACCCATCAGTAGTTTTTATAACAGGAAGCTGAGATCTGAAATGGGTGCGAGGAATTAATCATCATCCTTGATCACCAATCCATCCTAGCAAGAGAGGTATGTCAGCTAGCAATAGCCAGGCTGCCATTGTTCCTCTTCCCTGACCTCAACGGGTCCCTTGTTCAACTACTAAAAGTATGTCTTTATAAATTTAAAATTGTTCTCCAAGATTTTCTACCATAAAGTCATTAATAAAAACATTAACCTAGCCTTCTTAACAATCTATATGTCTTAATTCTTTCTTAGGGTGGTGGTTGAATCATTAATCTACTCAAGCAACAATGCTTGAAAAAGTCAATCGCTATTATTAAGTACCAGTAGCACTGCCCAGTGAGGGTCTAGAAACCGCTTGCCAATTTTCATATAATCCATAGATTATGAGGGATGTGGTGACCATGAAGAAAACAATCAGAGCTATGCTCAGTAACAGCATGGAGTCCTCAGGACACATAGTCCACATGCCTTGCATCTCCAAGGGTCACCCAGGTGTGTTTTTGCCATCCACCCAGTCATGTTCCATGAATTCCAATTCTGCCTGTTGGTCCCCTTGTATGGCCCCTGATAGCCATGTCAGAAGGTTTCTGAGCATCTGTGAAGCTAGCATTGATCTAATCCAGCATGCTTAGTGGCACACAAGATTAATGACTTCTCCATTAATAGACTTTCCAGTCTGGTTTAGTGTAGGCATGAACTAGAAAAAAAATTAACTAAACTACAATTATTAATTACAGTATATAATATGAAGAATATTATTTAAGGATTTTTATATTGTTGTTTTTAAACAGACTCACTATGTAGTCCAGAGTGGGCTCTCTAACTCATGATCCTTCTTCTCTGCCTCTGGAATCCTACAGTTGCAGGTTTAACCCATTACACCTGGCTTGATGAGTTTATTATCATTTTAGTTAGGGGTGACTTCTTTAAAGATAGTTGGTAGGGTTATTCTTCTCAAAGAGATATAGTCCACACTGAGCTGTTGTAGGGAGACCACTTGTTTGTGCCCAGTTGCCCAGACTTGAAATAACCACACAGAAACAGTATTAATTAAGCCACTGCTTAGCCTATTAGCTCTAGTTTCTTATTGGCTTGCTCTTTCATCTTAATTTAACCAATTTCTATTAATCTGTGTATCACCATGTGGGTGTGGCGTACCACCAAGGTTCCAGCTCGTCTGTCCCTGGTACATAGCGTCTCCTTGACTCTGCCTACTCTCTCTCTATCTCTTCAAGCCTGGGTATATTCTGTTATGTCATTGGCAGGAAGCAGCTTCTTATTCATTAGCCAATAAGAGCAACACATATACAGAAGGACTTCCCACACCACTGAGCTGCAGAGAAGGAGAAACATCTGGCCAGAAGCAGAAGGGGACACACAAAGGGCAGTGTGTGCTGTGACAAAGGGCATAAGGATGAGGTAGAGCTGAGGTAGAGTTACCAGGAAGCTTTCTGTTAGAAAGGACTCAGGCCTCACACCATATGCAATCAGAAGCAAAGGCAAGGTTCTGAGCAGGAAGTTAAGGAATCGAGAACGCATTTTCAAAGATTCTAAAAGTTGTACAGATAATAGATTGTAGGGAATCAAACTGCAAAGATCTGAGGCAACTGGAAAAGTATATACACTGACAGGTGGGCCA